CTCCATTGTCCAGAGGAAGGAATTAGGGCTCAGGGAGAAGTCATTTGCTCCAAACTGCCCAGCAGTAGGCAGTGGAGTTGAGATTTGCATTCAGTTCACCCCACCTGCCTTATCCACTCTGCCTCTCAGACTTGCCTTCCAATATCACCACACTGAGGCCAGATAGGGTGGGAGTTAGGGGGTCCTGCTGCCTGCTCTCAGTCCATAGGCACTAGCCCAGAGCATATCCCAGGGCCCAGAATCTTCCCCAGAATACCCAGCCAGATGGGGAGGGTCAGGGCCCAGAGTGAGTTAATCGATTTATTCTGGTGCTCACCACCGGACTCTGGTGAAATGACCCTGCTCCTTGCATGACAAGAGAAGTTTCGGGGGATGCAAGAATCCAAAGAGGCAGGGAGGCCCAGGAGGACAATGCCCAGCAGAACCTCACGCTTCTCCTCCAAACCTCCAAGGCAGGCTTCCCAGGTCGCTCAGAGTCTTCTCTAGACCCAGAGCAGACTTCTCCCTTAATTACACCCATGCCCACCATGGACACAAATTCAACCCAGGACTTCAAGGGCTGACAGGAACGCCTAAAGGCTTCAAAATGACCACTTTTCAGAGGCCTTTACTATTCTGCCTTCAGCTTGTCAAGAAGTGAGTTTTGGCCACCTGTGACACAGATGGAATGGAAGCCTCTGTCCACTCAGCTGGAATCTTCCAGACAAGGCCACTTTGTCTTATCAGACAATGAAACCCACGCCAACCCTGTAGAAGCTCCCCTGCTCCTTCTTGGCCTGGTTCTAGTCATCACCACAACCCTGTGACAGAGGTCACAGGATTGTGTTTTGCTCCTGAGGACACTGAGGGTCCAAGAGGGTGAGGCTTCCCGGGGGCCACCCAGCTGGTCAGAGATAGGGTCACGACCCAAACCGTGTCTGTCTGCTGCAGAGGCAGGGCCCGGCTGGATCCACCCAAACAAGTGGGCAGACGTCCAGCGCTCTCAGCTCTCGGGCCCCACCAGTGCACCCCAGCCCCGCTCCGTGAGAGGGGCCTCAGGCCTCCTCATTCCACTTTGCAGACGGAGAGAGAAGGCAGGAGGCGAAATGAGCAGAGCAGCCCCGATCAAGGCTGTAGGTTTCTCCAGCGTCTTCGCCGCCCGTGCTGAGTGAACCGGACTTCCAGGGCAAGATCAAGAGATGTGTCTGAAAACTCCACTGGTGTCCGCTTAGGTGGCCCCTGACTCCCGTTCCGGCGGCGCTGCTCGCTGGCTTTGTCCGCAGCACTCCCGCCCGACTACGGGCCGGTGGAGAACAACGAGCTGGGGGCGTTTCCGCCGCGGCCTCCGGGCAGGCGGGACCCCGAAGGAAGACGGCGGCCGCTTCACGAGCCCGAGCTCCTGCAGACCCCGCGGGGTACAAGCCTCCCGCCCGCCCCCTACCGCGGGGGCGCCCCAAAGGTCCCGGACCACCCGCCGGCCCCTCCCCAGAGCAGCCGAGCGGGGGCCGGGGCCGGGGCCGGGACCG